TCACTCAGTATCAGGTGAATAAATTTGTAATCATCACTCAGTATCAGGTGAATAAATTTGTAATTATCACTCAGATCAGGTGAATAAATTTGTAATCATCACTCAGTATCAGGTGAATAAATTTGTAATCATCACTCAGTATCAGGTGAATAAATTTGTAATTATTTTCCAACAAGATATAGCTTAATAGGGGTGTTGTTTATTTTTCCAGTGATCTAGTCATCAACAAATATCTTGTGTCATGAAGTATCTGCCTAGGCATTTATTTATTCATTTTGTCCAGTGAAAGGACTTTTGCTAAAGCTTCTAAAGAAGGAAAGCTGGTATGTTAGAGTAGACTTTTTAACTGTTAAACTTGAGGAATAATTGCTTGATTTATAAATTTTGGTCAATCTTTACTCCCAACTTCATCTATATACATACTTTCCTTGTCTGTCTGTTTGTTTGTATCCAATAAACGTCTAAACGGCTGAACCGATCGGGCCCACCTTTATTGTGAAACCTTACATGACCTCAGGGAAGGTTTATATAAGATCAAAATTAAAAAATTTTGCCTCCAACAAAATTCAATTTTCATTGAATTTTGAAAATCCACGGATAACTTTGAACTTTAGTGAAAATCTGCAATTTTGCAATTTTCAACACCTAGAGGGGGGGGGGGGGGGAGGGGGGGCCCTTTAAAGCTACGCCCCGGCCCCCACTTACAATACTACAAAGCGGGGATTTGGGACTTGAAAACGCCGCCCCCCCCCCACCACATCTTTTAGCTATAGGGTTACCAACTATACGATTTCAAAAACGTACCAAACTAGTTCCTCAGCAGTCCAAATACGTCACAGACAAATATACACAAGTGACAAATCCTATCGCCCCCACCTTGTATTCTATACCACCTTGACTGTTCTAAAGTTTTGAGGGCACACAGTATTTATTCCTAATTAAAATATCACGAAAATGTCCATAAATTAATGATTTCTTGATGTTGATTTTATTTTCTATCTAGGGGATCTGAAAATAGATTGTCTGTAGGACTTCAGGAATATAAGGACTTGCCTCAAATATCTAAAAAGTGCCGAGTTAAGCACTGTGATTTACAGGCGAGCAATATGATTTTGATAATTTTTTTGAAACTTCTTTTTTGACATCTATTTTCCAAAGATTTGGGACTAAATGAAAAATAGGACTTTTTTAACTATGAATTTATTTTTAGATTTTTTACTACTTGATCTCCCCAAACCTTATTTACATCACACAGTACATTTTCTCTTTTCTCCTTTAAGACCAAATTCATCATAAAAACCTCCCACCTAATAAGCATTTTTCTTGATTTGATTGCAATCACACATTTCCAAAATGTTCATATCTCCCTATTATTATTGAATTATTCTAAACTTGAGCTTTATATTCTTGATTGCAGGTACCAAGAAGATATGCCATGAAACCACCATGTCCTACAGCAGGGTTCATGCCTCCAACACCTCCCTTCTCCTGGATCAAAGGTTAATTATTAATTGGTAAAAGTCACACAAAATATCTTACTGAGCTGCTAACAAAACTGCAAATTTTCTTTAATATTTATGAAGTTAAAAACAACTAAAATTTGTAATAACATGATGAGGCTTGTAGATATTTTGCTATACTACCATGTACTTGAGGTTTATATGTTGACCCGTTCAGTCACAGTTTTTTACAGTATATATTTTTTTATACTTTTCTTCAAACCGATACATTATCAGGGGAAGTGAGATTTAATAAAACAGAAGTTCCCCCTCCAACCCGCTTTCCGTACTTCTCAGGAACAGATATATTTTATTTCTTGAATTCTCAAGATCTATGTAAACATTTACATATTTTTACTTATAAATACAATTCATAGGGCAAAATTCAACAGCCAGGTAATTTTCTGAACAAAATATTTGATAGAGAGGAATATAGTTGGATCATATTCAAATACTTATATGTTGGCAATTTTTTCTTTCTAATATTATTTATTTATTATTCAATTTGCTTGAGCTTCATTTATCATTGCTGCAGAATCCAGATTAGATAAGCTAAGAATTAAGAATTATTTATATCTTTACAACCAGGGAACATTCCGACTCTGCAGGCACAATACTTCAGAAACTGTCCTACTCCTCCAGTTTTTGGAGTTGGTTTATCAACTCCACCTCCCCTCCACCCTTGCACACCTCCTCCTCCCCCAGTAACCTGGAGTCAGGCAAGATATCTATATATATTTGCATGTCTATCTTTCTGTCTGTCTGTCTGTTTGTTAGTTTGTGTCCAATAAACGTCAAAACGGCTGAACAGATAAGGCCCAAATTTTGTATGGGACCTCACGTGACCCCAGGGAAAGGTTTATAAATGATCAAAATTTCAAAAATTTTATCATTGTTAAATTTTGAAAATGCGTTAAAAGTATTATGAAATCTGCAAACTTAAAATGTTTTTTTTTTATACTTTACATTGTATAAAGAGAAGATGCCCACAGAAAAAGTCACAATTAAGAGTTGAAAGAGAAGATGGACGCGAAGCGCCCTAAAAGCTTAGTGATAATAATAACAAAGGTCAATTATTATTTTGATGGATTTTATATAAGGATTTAAAAAAGATTTGTAAAATTATATTTAGCTACGTGGATCTTGGGACTGACTTAATATTAATAATACATGTAAATATTGATCTGTAATTCCTTAGAGTGTAACATCTGATCAGATGGGATATCAAACTATCTGGGGTCGAGTCTCAGCTTCTTCAAGATACCAGCGGGGCTGGGTGTCGGGGTTCAACACAACACCAGTTCACGGTAGTCCTAGATGGTTGGATAGACAAACAACTGGTGAATTCAACCCTGGCTTCAAACAGTGTGGAGATGGGGCTTATCCGATCAGAAATAGCATTTTTGGTATTAAAGTTGATCAAGATGAACTAGAATACAACAAGTATGGAGATCCATTTGTCAATCAGGTTACACCTTTATCTATATATACTTTGTTTGTCTGTGTGGGTATCCGTTTGTTTGTATCCAATTAAACATTCCTGAGCTGTATAAACATGTAACTATCAGAATTTCAGTTCTAACTAACCATGGATCAGATCTCTCTGAGCTGAGCCGTGAAACTTTGAAAATCCACGAAAACAAAATTGTAAAAAATCTGCAAATTTTTCTTATTTATTAAAATTTAGGGGTTTGTTCTGATGACTCCTCCAGGAAGTTCAAGTGACTATCCCCAATATCAGGAAAGGCAAATTTCTTTTATCAGATAAATACAAAGAAAGATTCTAAATTAATTTTGAGTTCAGGTTTCTCCCCTGGCAAGACCTTACGGGTTCTCTTCTCAGCAATATCAGCAGTTTACCAGTTTTCCAGGTTAATATATATTTTGAAGGGTTTGTCAAGTGTCAATACCATCATACATAATAATCATTCTTGATTAGACGAAGCTTTTAAGGGTAATGTTGCGACATTTCACTCTATAAATGGAGACAATTTAAATTATTTCTTCAGTCCCTTTAAGACCCTGCCATTTATGGTTAAAAAATATTGCAAAAAATTAAAATGACAGTTGTTTAAAACGTAGAGGACCTAGAGTGATAAGTTGGGTTAGTCAAAGTACAATCATGAAACCATTAAAAAAGATCAAATAAACTAAGTAAAGTAAAGTCTTGAAAATACAGCTAATTATGTTTGGCTCTAGAACTTAAACTAGGTGTTCTCAAAAAGGGCTCCACTGGGATTTCTTATTTGTCATATCTTCTAGAACTCTACCAAACATGCATGAATTGACAGAACAAATTGTTTGGAGTTCAAAGTGTAAAATTTGATCCAGGGGGACAGCAGCTGCCCTTGGTTCAACCTTATCAGAGGATTCAATTTTATTATGTTCAATGTAAATTTAATATTTAGTAACTTTCCCCTTATAACTATATTTCTATTGCCAAGATAAAGTATGGAATGTAAAGGTAGATTAGGTTTCCCATTGGTCCCTTTCAACCTCCAATGGAATTCAATTGTAAGAAACAATATTAGATATCTAAGGAAACTATTAAAACAAAAAAAATTAAAGAAGGGCTTTATCAGTGTTGACTACCAAACAAATTCCTTCCAAATTGTTTGCAAAGAGTTACAAATAATCACTTTTTTGTTTGGCGTGTGTGTGTGTGGGGGGGGGGGGTTACATTTTACCGAGAAAATGTTTAACTAAGAAAGTTTAGTAAATAAAAATATTGTGTTTGATCTCGGTACTTAACCATTGTGAAGACAAAGATGTTTTCTGAAGAATCTAATATTATTTTATTTATAAACTGTAATAATATTGATAGCTAGCTGAAGGGCCCAACGTTGCCCGTGGAAAAAAATATAAAAAAAATGTTGAAAAAAAAATGTTAAATTGTTTTCAGCCTATGTCACCCCTGGGATACCTCTGGGTTCCCTTAAAAAAATGTCAGCCCATTCGGTCCAGCCGTTTGGCCGGCTATAGGGGACATATATATAGTAATGTCTTGTTTTATTATATAGATTATAATAAACTAACTTATTTAAGGAACTTTCGAGCTTAGGGGATATCACCTAACACAAGGAAAAAACAAACTAATGTAAAATAAACAGACAAAATCATTGATTTTGTCTCCTGTATATTCTGACTCTCTTTTGTAAATGTTTTAAACAAAAATTAAAATTTTTATCAAATTGAATAGATTCCAGTGCTAAATGATTTTAATGAGCCATCTTCCAAAATCAAGATATAAATAGGACGAAGAGTTGGATAATTGAAATTCCAATTATGCGATTTTTTAGTTTAAGTCATAAAGATGGTAAATATTATCAGAAGTATAATGAAGAAACTGGACATTGACTTCAACAATGATTTTTGTAGGTAAACAAACAACCTAAAGTTTTTCTAATAATTATTTTTGTTTCAACAAAAGAAATTTTTAAATCCCAACTTTTGTTGCACTCTACTGAAAATTTTAATCAATTGAAATGTTTAATTTGTATTTTGTACTCTTTATAATTAATGAAAGGAAAATTGAAAGGAAATTTTATATTAGGAGATTTTCAGTAGAAATTTGTTGAGCTTAATTATATTTTAATTTTGATTCTCTCTACTAGCATTATTAATTTTCAGTATTTTAATTTCAAACAGGGTTTAGAAGTATAAATTATTAGAAAATTAATCCACTTTTTAATCATCTTTTACTCTTGGCAAACTAGTTTTTTTTGCAGCCTGGTGTGATAGACCTTTTTAAACCATAAATTTTGTTAGATTCCTTGTTAAAATATTTAAGGTTTACACTATTCTGTTAGTAAAGATTTAGGGATTAAATTTTGCGATTTTGCTTCTAGCGTTGGCTCCAATTTTTATTTTATTTTAAATAAAATAAAATGAGAAATGAAATCTTTACTTTAAAATATCTAGATGTTATTTAAACCATGAAAACTATTCAGAACGAATTTACGAAATTTTTGTTTGTTTGTTATTTTAGTAAACCTTGAAATTTTTTATATGAGTTTGAATTTAAATAAATTAATAAGTTTGTATGATGAATGCAGAGAGTCTTTTTTCTCAATCATTCTCAGTACCTCCTGTTCCGAGTCCAACTAGTTCCAGAAAATTCACATTTCCAGGTAGTTAAACATCTAATACTTTCAATATTTTAAGGACTAATTGATCTAGCTGAATTCATGGTTTGAATTATTAATTGCCAATACTACAATATCAGGATGCCAAGATATAAGTATCGAGGCAGGTGCTTTTTTTTGCAAAGCTGCATAACATATGTTTACACTTTACAGGGTAATATATTTAATACTGGGGATTTAGTTTTCAGGGATATCTTACTGAAAATTTCCAAAATTACTGATAAAACACGAAAAGGCTTTATAAAATATATTAGAAAATTGTGAAAGTCTCTTATCATGACTTAGTTTGTTAATTTTTTACCACTTGGATCAGAATTTGCGTCTCCGCATTCTATGCGGATTCGGATCCAGATCTATAAACATAAGGAAAATCAGTTAATCTTCCAAATTCGAATCTTTGCCCTTTAAAACATGAATATCCTATTTTATTTCACTTAATTTAATAATTTATTTTTTGTTCTTTCTAATATTCCTTCTTTTTTCTGCTTAATTTTCATCACTTCATTTCTCTTCCATATTTTTTGTAAATTTGATTTCTTCCTCCATCTCCAAAAAAGAAGGCAGAAAAAAGCCTGTTTAGCCCAAGTAACTGCTAGATTGATAAAAATATACAAAAAAAATATTGAAGAGACTCCAAAGGGTTTTTAATCATACGCTTGTAAAGTTCCATTCCTGTTTTTAAAATTTTATTTTCCTGAAAAAAATACTTTATTTTTGTGTTAAGTTTCTCCACTCAGTCCCACCACGGCGAGGTCACCTTTGTCCCCAGGACTGTCTACAGCTGGTTCACCATTGTCCCCAGGACTGTCTACTGGACTCTATCATATTCCACCCATCAACACTAACTCTCCAGAGAGTGCTGGTAAGTTGGCAGTGTGCCAAAAAGCATTTAAATAATTCGAGAAACGTCGATCATACTTCAATATCTGAAATGTAAACTAAATTTTGATTTACAAAGAACTTAAACTGAGGATTTATGTGGTATCATCTAGAAGTTACAAGGTTTTTTCCACTCTTGATTTATAATAGTTATTTCCTGGTTGAAATGTGGAAGAAAGGCGTCCCTTAAAGGGAGTGTTCGCGAAAAATGAAAGGGGGTATAGGCTTAATGCGATAAAAAAGCGTTAGGTTGTAATATCTGAATGATTTGTTTGAAATTAAATTGATTTTTTTACGTCTAAGTTAAGTATGTTATTTGGTATGAGACGTCTTTAACAATTTTCTCCTTATAGACGCAACAGATTGAAGTAAGATTAGTAGCGATCAAAGGCGCTTTATATCGCATTAAGCCTATACCCCCTTTCATTTTCGCGAACACTCCCTTTAAACCAATGCATGTCCCTAATTGGTTTTGTTTAAAAACAAAAATAAAACGTCCTAAAATTGTATTGGATGATAAATTACTTAAGGACAGAAACGGGTTCCTGTTGGTTCTACCTGTTTTCCATCCTATTTTTCTCAAGGTAAAATACATGGCATCTTCAGTCTTGTTACAGTTTTTTTTTTACTGAATTGTAAGTTAAAATTTTTTTTTTCCAAGTGACCTTCCATTTGTAGAGTGGAATAATTGATTTACAACGATACCCTTTAAACCTTTGTTTGTTAACGGAATTAGTAGATATTCTTATTTATACAGCAGTAAATTAAGTGCCAAGAAACCGAGAGAGTGTTTACCTTAACAAGGAGTGTGCATTGTAACCTCTAGTCTCCCGACACTCAATCTTCAGCTACACAAATGAGGGTATTTAGTATTTACCACATCGATGTCCAGACAAAGGTATAAAGGGTATCGTTGTGGAACGGAAATGTCTCACTTTAATTGGACGGTTCCTTTAAACTTACGCTTACAGTCCCTTGAAATCTCTTGTTCAAGTGAAATGATGTGTTCTTTGCATAATTGACTTCTTGTTTATAGGCAAGTGATGGAGAAGAAACTGAATTACTGTCTTCTCATCACAATATTAAATATATATTTTTTTTACATTTTTTTAAATCTTCAGTTAGATATTGACTTTCTGTTAAGAACAAATAACTCTTTAATGATTTTACACTTTGTTCTTGACATTTTGTACCTTTATTATAAAATGTATTTATTACTGTGTACAACAGACATAGTTCATACATTCAAATCCTGCTGTTCATTGTAAAGGATCTACAATGTTCCCTACATCCAGTCTGTACAATGTGTACTCTATGCAGTACTGTGTTGTTGTAAAGAAGTTGGACCTTCTTTGTAACGTGCTACTTAAAATACCAGTTCATAGAATCTTAGGTTTCAGATTGCTGTCATATATTATTGTATGCCATGAATGCATTTGAAAAGAAACTTATGTAATTTATTCATTTTGTTAATATCCATTGAAATTGTTCCAAGTTGGTGAACTTGATTTTTTTTGTTAAACTTTATTTTCTCTTGTTAAACTTTATTTTTTTTTTTTAGATAAAAATGTTGAGTACTAATATAGAGCAGAAAATATAAGGTCTTTTTTTTATTGCTTTCATTTTTTCATTGCTTTTATTTTTTCATCTTTATTTTCATTGGTCTCCGTAACTCTTCCTGGTTCTCCGAGATCTTTTCTTTTTGATTCTCATTTTCTTTCTTCTCATTTTCTGTCTTTCTTGTTCTTCTTTTCTTTCTTGTTCTCCTTTTCTTTCTAGTTTTTCTTTTCTTACTTGTTCTCCTTTTCTTACTTGTTCTCCTTTTCTTTCTTGTTCTTCTTTTCTTTCTAGTTCTCCTTTTATTTCTAATTCGCATTTTCTTTCTTGTTCTCCTTTTCTTTCTAGTTCTCCTTTTCTTACTTGTTCTCCTTTTCATACTTGTTCTTCTTTTCTTTCTTGTTCTCCTTTTCATACTTGTTCTTCTTTTCTTTCTAATTCTTTTCATACGTTTTCTTCTTTTCTTTCTAGTTCTCCTTTTCTTTCTTGTTCTTCTTTCTAGTTCTCCTTTTCTTTCTTGTTCTTCTTTTCTTTCTTGTTCTCCTTTTCTTACTTGTTCTCCTTTTCTTTCTTGTTCTCCTTTTCTTTCTTGTTTTCCTCTTCTTTCTAGTTCTCCTTTTCCGTCTTACTTGTTCTTATTTTCTTTCTAGTGCTTCTTTTCTTTCTAGTTCTCCTTTTCTTTCTAGTTCTCCTTTTTCTTACTTGTTCTCCTTTTCTTACTTGTTCTTCTTTTCTTTCTAGTTCTCCTTTTCTTTCTAGTTCTCCTTTTCTTTCTAGTTCTCCTTTTTCTTACTTGTTCTCCTTTTCTTACTTGT